AGCATCGCCGATAGCATAGCCTGTGTTGTAAAATTTTATCGATCCTCTTTGTCTGTTAAAGGCGAATTGAAATTTTATTGACGCGTCCCCGCCGTTGTGTGTTACAGACGTGAACGAGTGCGTGCAGTCGCCGCCGGCGTGCCGGTACGACTGTGAGAACACAGAGGGCTCGTACCGCTGCCTGTGTCCGGCCGGCTTCGTGCTGGACCTGGACGGCAGCAGCTGCCGCGACCTGGACGAGTGCGCCACCGGCCAGCACATGTGCCAGCACGAGTGTGTCAACACGCAGGGCTCGTACCGGTGCTCGTGCCCGGCCGGCTACCGCCAGATGGGAGACCAGTGCGCCGGTCAGTGCACTGTTTAGTGTAGTGCCTGTTTCAGAATGGTTTTGTCTCAAGCTCAACTGAAGTTTGACTTTGTTGACATCTTGAAGCAGTTTTAAATATCTAGTCATTCGAGTCTCCATATGAAATATCTCAATCGAGATATGTATAATCTGTAAATTGAGACGGCTTAATTGTCGTATTTGCGATTCAGATACACTCTTACACGAGCCGTCGCTGTTCATGGTGCGACAAACCGCTAGTGCTGCCTCGACTGACAGCACCCGCTCGGCTCCCCTCAGACGTCGACGAGTGCCTGGAGACGCCGACCATCTGCGGTGTGCCGGGCGCCTGCACGAACGTGGCCGGTAGCTACCGCTGCGTGTGTCCGGACGGCTACAGGATGGACGCGGCCGGCCTGCTCTGCGAGCGCGACCAGCTCGACTATGACGACTACGACTGCGGCTCGGACTTCTGCGACGAGGATATATCGCAAAACTGCCAGGTCGGTGGTCAGAGGTGTTGGCATGTCTTTTAGCATAGCGGATGTGTATCCTGAACCTGGAGAAACGCGTCCTCCCGTGTATGACTGGGTAGGATGAGAAAACGGACTGGTTGAATGCTTCCTGTAACAACTGCGACTCTGCCGTGTCCGACAGGAGCTGTTCGGGCGCACGACGTGCTCGTGTCCCGAGGGCTACGTGCAGAGCTACTACACGGGCCAGTGTGTGGACGAGGACGAGTGCACCCGGCACCCGTGCGGCTCGGCCTCCTGTCAGAACACGCTCGGCAGCTACCGGTGCCAGTGTCCGCCCGGATACCAGTTCAACGTCCAGATGCTCGTCTGCGTGCAGGTGCGTCACTGCGAGTCAGCCTTCACTGTCGCCTCCACCCTTTCCTCCCCATACGCACTCATGGTGCGCTGCTAAACGACCTGTGCATTAGCAACGCTACGTACCGAAACCAGATTTTCACTAAAACATCAGATGCATCTCCCTCTCCAACGAGCTTCGTCTACAGACCGAACTTTCTTATGCATCTGTGAAATCGACCGCTTACTGTCGTTTTCTTCACCAAATGGCTCCGCGGTCCGTCTCGTCTCCAGCTCGTGTTCGTTTGGGTGCCAGCCTGGGTTGTCTATGACATTCGCCAACTGTCGTTTTTGTTCCTCAGATGGCACCGCAGTGCGTCTCCAGCTCGTGCTCATTCGGGTGCCAGCCCGGTCCCGGAGGGGCCGCCAGCTGCAGCTGTCCGCAGGGATATCACAGCTTCGGACAGGTGAGTTATTCAACCCCACACATTCCAGCTCCATAGTTTCTACTAGTTACTTTATACCGTAAAGTCAGCGCAAATGTCAGCGTCCTTAATAACTGCGGCAGTTAGTTTCAAGCCGGCTGAACCGTACACTCGTCTTCGCAGGGCCACTGTCTGTCGACCATCAGCGCGGCGATGGGCGCCGGCTGGGCGGGCCAGCACGCCTCGTTTAGCTCGTACCAGCAGCTGAGCACGGCGACGGACACGAGCAACATCATCAGCACCGAGGGCTGCTACTCTTGCCAGGTAAGCATTCAACGGACAGCCGTCAGCGTGCCTGACGCATGACGACCTCACCCTCTCACAGTGCCACGGTCAAAACCGGCAAAAATCGTAAGTTTTTGACAAAATTATTTTTGTAGCCAAGGTCCAATGGTTGCTTCTGGTAATCACAAATCGTTTGCTTTATGCTCGCATTTCCAATTGAGTAATCTCTTCGGCATTTTTCCTTTCTCGTCCTAGAATTTGTTCAGATTCATCGCGGATGGGACTGCGTCTATCGTGTACTGTTTTCTCATGACATCATTTATATTACTGTTTCAGATAAACGGACGCAAGAACCGCGGTCGCCGCAGCGTGTCGTCGGAACTCGACGGAGGATGGCAGGCACAGCGCGTTTCTGAATCTACCGACGCGTGGTCACCAAATCAGGTGAGCACTGCGCACTTCGGTGCTGCTCAATTGCCGGACGGTTTCAGCTTGGCACGGTTACATTAAAATGCCTTTTTAAGGCTTATTTTATTTCAGCGCATTAAGTTACACGTTATTGAAAAAATGCACGCAACAGGCCAATGCTAATTTTGTGTAATACGCGGGGGAGGGCAATGCTAAACGGTGATCTACAAAACCATGAAACGGTGAGTCGTTATGTGACTACAATTTCATTTGCAGACTGCTCCCAATACCGACCAGCAAAACGATGAGCACCGCCATAGGAAACATCAGGAGAAACTTCTAAAGTCACACCCTGACAAGGACCATGACGCGTTATACGTTGTCATAAAGCTGGCGCAAGCAAAGAAGAAGGCGAAGATAGTTCGCCTGCAGCCAGCGCTGAAGGAATTACAGGTTAGTGTTTCTGATGTCAGGCCTTTAATTTAAGCACGACCCAGTATGCTCCGACATAATTGAACTTCTATTCATACCTTGCGATCGAAAAGTTTGAAGATATTTGTAATATATTCTCGGATATCAATATAAACCTGCACGATTTTCCTCGAACGTCGATCATGTAAAGTTTGCTGCTCAACGAACGATAATCACGTAAGACTTTACGCGATACTGTAAAGAGCGAAAGAAAAACGGGAAGATAACGGACTTATTTCCTTTTGCAGTATAACATCCACTACTCGATCGTCCCTGGTAAGAACTCTGATCGGTTCTTGCTGATGACGAGGAACGGCATCACCTCGCTGCACTTTGTGCACCACCAGCAGTACGCGGGTGTCTACGATCTGCTAATAGCCAGCAAGATGATCCACCAAGAGACCGGTCTTCCTGCCGATTACCAGCTCCACCTGCCCGTCAAAGTAGTCGTGGTAGAGTAGTGTGTCGCCGTGCCGCGCGTTTGCCATGTGGCCTTTTGTGCCGGTCGTTTGGGCCGAGTGCCGAGAGCGGAGATTTTTCACTAGCCAGTCAGCCGGTCAAACTGCCCGACCGGACCGGCATAGCCTAAGTTCAACTGTATGTGCCATTCGAGTGGTTTGACAGGAGCTCCGATGCGGCCGTCGCCGTCCACGTGTGACGCCGGTGTCACCTGTGAGGTGGGCTGCGGGGCTGAGATGGGTGGGTCGCGGCCGAGCCCCTCAAGAAGCGGTTGCAACCCTCCTTCACGGGAGTTTCTGTGTTCGATCGAGACTTCGCGGTGTTAAATTTGTGCTGTTTTGTGTGCATGTTTGTGCAGCGTCGAGGAGAAAGGAGAGATAGGATGAAAAGGAAGGGGAACTAATCAAAGAGCAGTCTCCAAATTCACTGCATGTAAATGACCAACTTTCAGGTCTATTGAATCACGATGACCCTCGACCAATTCAAATGCTACTCTACATAGTTACTTAACGCTACAGTATTTGATCAGACTGGTTTGATATATAAGCGATTGAGGTTTAAACGAGGCGACTGCTCCATTGACAATTGACAGTTTTGGCGCCTACGATGCTACACACACGTCTAGGCCCCCGCGTTATATTTTAACGTCATATATCGTCATTTTTTTTACACGCATTAGTTTCCTCCCGAAATTTGCCTCTGTATGCTAAAATTTGTTTCGCTTGTGCCGATGCAGTAACGTTTCGATAAATGCACGATAAATCCCGTCACTCGACACTTCAAGAAGCTTACAGAGGCTGCTGCTAATTTTGCACTGACCAATGACGTTGACGAAGTCCATGCCGGTATACGAGTTGCTGCACACCTTTCACTCATTAAATGCTACATATTTACACATATCCTGTCCGGGACCATACGATGAACCCATCGGGACCAATGTTAGCGTCAAGGCTACTTTCAGCTAGGTACGTCTTCAATCTATTCAGCAAAATAAGCCCATTTTGAGTCCCTCAATCGAAGTCTTCCATAATGTTTTATAATAGCTCCGACCGGTTGTATAGATGCTGCCTGTCATTGTCTGATGTAGAATTATGCAATTAATGAATTATGTATGAATGCATGTCTGTGTGCTCGTGCCGTGGATGTGTGCAAATGTAATGACGTGTGCTGGTGCGGGTGCGGGCTTTGTGCGGACTATGGAGTAAACAGAGAGAAGCCGAAGGTGCCTTGCGTGGGTCTTCTCTCGCTTGTTACCATGAAACTTGCCACCATATTTCCTCTTATCATCTCTCTTCTCTTCTATGCCCCATTGCTGGAAGAATGGCTTAGATGTTGAAGAAAGACGTGATTGAGCTAAATCGAAACTGCCGCTATGCGATTCGCGTCGAGTGTTTGTCCAGTAGTTGCGTTTTCTAGTCCAGGTGGCAGAGCTAAGGTCACCGTGCACAGAGTGCTTCTGACTAGATCATTGTCACGAGTGACAGCTTTTAACGACTTTAGCATTGTTACTTTGTGACTAATACATCAAGCTTATTCATGTTTAGATGCGTGTGCGTGGAAAGATCCCGTGAAGAAGGCTGAGAAGTGTTTGTGGATATTCACACGACGCGTGGCCGGATAGTGCGCTCTGGCTGGTCGTGGTCCGAGCGAGACTTGCCGGCGCTGACGGGCGTGTGGCGTGATTGGTTCTGTGCGTAAACGGGGTGAAATGCGCGGATCGATGCATGTGCTGAGCATGATGATTGTGTCCTCATGTGATAATACATGGGTGAACGGGACTTCAACCAGCTTCAACTGCATCCAAGTAGAAAACAACGATTTTCTATATATGAACTATATCTATCAAAGCATCGGTCTGGTAAGGGGATGGTTGGTTGCCTTGGGGCGCCCTAATAACAAGGTTATATGAAAGCGTCTACTAAAACGACCACCGTGTAAACTCAGATGTCACAATACAATGCATTACAATCCAAGCCCGTCAAAAACTGTGTATGCGAACAGCTGCTGCTGGATAAATGAAACCGATTTTGATGAACATGAAACGGCGAAGGTCTGGACAATGGCAGCTCGCATGTCGCCCAGCTGTGCCTTGCTGCGCGCGCGAGCACCACTTCCACCGATAGTACCACCTCCAGCACCACTGCACTGGAGAACAGACAGTCCAACAGCGGGCGAGCACACACTAAACGGCGTCCGGTGACGCCTCGTCGGCCGCCTGTCCGACCTCGGCGGCAGCGTCCGGTACCACTGCCGCCTCCCCCGCCCCGCCCGCACCCCCAGTCCCCTCCAACGCCTGTACAGTACCGCCCCCCGGCTGCCCACCTTGCGAGGCGGCTCCGGCAGTCCTCTGAGCGTCGACACACTCCGGCTCGCCGGCTGGTTGGTCCGACACAACAGTCTCGTCGCCTGCCGGGTAATGGGCCACGCTTTCGTCCACCTCATGACCCAGGTGTCCTTCCGAAACGGTCGTCTCATCACCGAGATTAGATTGCATGAAGCTGTCCTCTACCTCTAACACTGTCTCTTCTGATCTCTGATCGTTGGAAGCAGCCTCCTGTTTTTCGGCAGGGTAGTGGGCCACGCTTTCGTCCACTCCATGACCCATGTGTCTCTCAGAAACGGCTGTCTCATCTCCGAGATCAGAGTGGATGAGGCTGTCCTCAATCTCTAACTCGGTCTCTTCTGATCTCTCTTCGTTGGAGGCGGGCAGCTCTTTTTCGGCAGGGTAGTGGGCCACGCTTTCATCCACTTCATCGCACATGTGTCCCTGCGAAACGGTCGTCTCATCTCCCAGATCAGAGTGGATGAAGCTATTTTCTATCTCTAACACAGTTTCTTCCGATCTCTGTTCACTGGAAGCGGGCACCTCTTTGTTGGCAGGGTAGTGGGCCACGCTTTCGTTTATTTGTGAATATTCGACAGGTTCTTCAGAAACGCTTATTCCTTCGCCGGGAGCACAGTTGGCCACACTTTCATCCATCTCTGCATCAGTTCTCTTCTCCTCCGAAACAGTGATCTCTTCGGTGGCAGGGAAGTGGGCCACACTCATGTCTACCTCTGAATCTGCATGTGTCTGGGAGACGACCGTCTCTTCGTGTGTAGAGTTGACCACACTGTCGTCTATTTGTGAATGCTCCTGGGAGTCCTGGTCACAGTCGACCATGGACTCCTCTACAACCAAACCGGCGCGGTCCTCGGAAACAGAGACCTCTTCGCCGGCGTCACCAATGATGACATTCTCCTCAGCGATGTCACCACTGATGACCGGCGCAGCATCAGCGTCCTGATCATGCTGGATGGTCATGTCGCCCTCTTCGGTGGCAACTGTATTAGATTGACCGACATCTTCAGTAGTTACGGAATCATCCACCTCATTGACAGCCGACATGGCGGAGTTCTCCATATTTTCCTCAGGTACTGAATCAGGTCCGATAAACTCGTCAGAATGGGATAGGTCCGGCGCCACAACCTCCTCTTCTTGGCGTGTACCGTCGTCGCCCGTACTCTGTTGGCAGTCTGCATCCTCCACATCAACTTTATGGATACTCGCTTCGTTGACGCCACCGGCCTGTGACACGACGACATGGTGCGGCGTCTGGTCGACCGGCTGCGACAGCAGGCCGTCCTGACTGGGCAGCTGCTGCGCCGCCGCGTCATCGTGTTCGACGGCGGACAGCTCCATCGGCTGGGCGATCAGCTGTTCACCGTGCGACTGCTGCAGCTCGTACAGCTGACTGTGCGACATGTCGGCCACGATCACCTCCTGGCCGCTGGCCAGCTCCGAGACGATCACGTGACCCGGCGGCAGGTGGTCGGTCATGACGAACTGGCCGTGCCGCAGCTGCGCCAGGCTCACCGGCTGCCCGTACGCCTGCGATACCACCGTCGGTAGCGTCTCGCCGGGAAGGTGCGGCAGGATAGAGGCCGGCTCGTCCAGTTCCGAGACGGTCACCTGTGAACTCGACACCGATATGCGCGACGAGCCCACGCCGGGGCTGTGTGCGGCCGAGCGGCGCGGCGATGCAGTGGCCCGAGAGCCGAGCTGGGCACCCGACTTGGTTCTCTGAGGTGACACCAGCGTGTGCCCCATCTGGGACTCAGTCGTCTGCGGCGGGTCGATTTGCTGCAGGTCTGGCAGCACCGTTTCGCCCGCTGAGGCGCCGGGCCCGGGGTCTCCGGCCGCCGGCGCCACACGGACAGCGCCCGACCCGGCGTCCACGCTGGCCGCCCCTCCGCCGCTCACGGCGGTGACCGGCACCGTGTACTCGGTCACCTCCAGCACGGTGCCGTCTGAGACCACCGTGCCGGCGCCGGCGCCGTGGCCCTCGGCCGGCTGCAGCGCGATGTACGAGATCACGCCGTTCTCGTCCTCGACGGGCACTATACCGGCCGGCAGCGTCATGTACTCGCCGTCCACGGCCAGACTCAGAGAGGTGGCCACGCTGTTGGCAACTGTCGACATGCTCTCTGCCTCAGAGCTCGGGTCTAAGGAGGCAGGGAGCGATATAGTCGCCTCCGGTCGCAGGGCGGCGTCCGGCTTATCCGGCGGCTGGCTGCGGCGACGGTCCGCAACCGTGGACACCACTTTGTGAACCGAGCGCATGTGCCCCTTCAGGTTGTAACTGCGCGAGAATGACATACCGCACAGCTCACACTTCCAGTCGAACTTGCGCTTGGGTTCCACTCCCTGACGGCAAGCGTTTGTACGCATGTGACCCTCCAGCAAGTTCAGGCTTTGATACACAACACCGCACTCCTTACACTTGTACTCCTTGCCGATTTTGTGTCTCCGCTGGCGATGTCTCGCCATCTCCGAGTCGCTGATGGCCTCGAAATCGCATCGGTCACACTTTGGGAAGGTGATGAAGCGAGGCGGCGGGATGCCGTGCTTGGTGTACTCGTGGTAGATCAGCTGGAGTTTTTTGGTGGCCGAGAAGCCGCACAGGTGACAGGAGCCGGCGCTGCGGACGCCGCGCGTGTCGTGCACGTCGCGCAGGTGGGCGAAGTAGTCCATGACGGTGGCGAAGTCGATGGGATCGCCGGCCTGCACGCAGGCCGTGCAGGAGAGCGTGTTGAGGTCGATGACCGACTCGTCACTATGTTCCTCCTGGAAGTGTTTGGCCATCTGGTCGGCCCACCAGAAGTCGACTTGTTTGCCGCGCCGGGCGCACAGCGAACAGGAGAGCGGCGTCTCCAGCGACTCGGATGGCTCGATGGCGACGGCGGCCTGCTCCTGGTCCTGCTCCTGCTGTTTCACCACCATGAACTCGGTGTGAGTCGGGGAGCCGGGTCCCGTCTGCGTCACCAGACGAACCTGCCGAACAAACACAAGCTGATTGAAAATACCGACATGAACACCGCATGGAAAGATATTTTAGTCAGCCCTGGTTGCCTCTTTACAATTCTCGCAAAAACGGTGTTAGCCGTGAAAAACGTTTGCAGGAGAAATAGAAGCATTAAAATATGTAGTAGATTTAACAAGACTAGGGTGGCATAACCTTACAAGGTGCATCAAACGATGACTAAACAAATAGGATAATCATAGATAACATGAATCATGTTATGTTATCATGATTCATGATTCATGTTTCATGATTCATATGTTAACATGGTTCATCTTATCTATGGATAAATTGATAATTAATCGATACTTTTCTAATTGAAATACATGCAGCTGGAGGACTGATACGTTGCTCAGCGAATGTAGGCATATATAAATAGCTTATCGTGTAAAAGAGGGTACACATGACAGCACTATTACCAACACTAAAATAAACCTTAAATGGGCCTTGCATCATCATCATCACGACACTTTTTCACAGTCTCGCAGTTTATTTACTTTTCTAATTTCAATGCTGCAAGGAATTGGTACGCCTTGTCAGAGCGCCGAGCGGCGGACTGACCTTGACGCTCTGGCCGCCCTGCAGCAGCTCCGGGTGCTGTTTGAGCAGCTGGCTGACCAGTTCGGACGTGTCGCCCATGTCCTGCACGGTCAGCGTCAGCTGAGAGCTCTCCGAGAACTGGACGCGCTTCTTGCCGCTGCCCGTCGACGGCGTCGGCTCCTGTTTGAGGATGGGCCGCGGCCGGCTGGGCGTGGTCGGCTCGGCCGGCTGCGCGCCGCCGCCCTCCACCAGCCGCGCCCGCTCCCGCTGCTGCTCGTAGTACTCGCGCTCGTCCTCCCGCGGGTCGTCCACCGTCTGCTCGGCAGGCTCGGCCGGCTCCAATTTGGGCCGCTTGGGCGGCGCGCTGTCCGCCGCCGGCGCAGCCACCGGGCGCTTCACCGGCGTCTGGCGTAGGTACTCGAACATGGCGTCCCCGCTACCGGCCGGCTCCGGCAGCGGCTCCACCTTGGGCCGCATCAGGGTCGGATCGGGCAGGCCCAGTCCGCCCAGATCGTCCGACTCCGGCATCTCGAACCGCGAGGGCCGCGCGTCCTCGGGGGGCTCCGCCGCACGGATAATTCTGCACAACAGACGGCGTATGTACCACCGTCAGCATCACACAAGCACGCATGGCCAGACCACAATACGTGGATATAGCCAATGCCATGTGCACTACACTGGCAGATAGGTGGAGCTGGATCAAACACAAGACAAATGTCATTAAGACTCATTATTAAAGGGAAGGATGATTTAGCTTTAACCTACCTGTCGGTGTCAAGCACAAGGGATTATCTTCATTGTGATCGTTCTTTTTTTTACTAGTAAGCCCGCTACTAACCTCCGGGACGACTTCGAAAAAGAATGTACAAACATCTCCAAAACAAGGAGAGCAAACAAGAACCAAAAAATGGGGATCGAGCCAAAATGGATTTTTTCCCATGAGCATCATGACATAAGCTTAGTGAGTAACAAAGAAAATCGATTCCAAGTCTGTGAGACCTGGTGCGTATGAATAAACTGACCTGCGGCTGGCAGCCAGCTGCGAGTTGGTCTGGTATCCGGGGCTTTTCTGTCCAGGGCTGCGCGGCTGGTGATAGCCGAGCGGCGGACGGCCGCGGCGCGTCTTCAGGCCGGCCGATACGGACGCCTCGGCGCTGCTCATCTGCGCCTCCAGCAGCCGGATCAGGATCTGCAGCTTCAGCAGCTTGGCCGTGCTGTACAGCATGTCCACGCTGAACGGCGCATCCAGACGGCCCGTGTACACGAACCTGGTGTCAGGGGGTGAGCCGGTGCGTCAGAACGGCTGCGGCAGTCAATGGCGTCTCCCAATGCGACTTTTATATAGTCAGCAAAGCCTACAAAACGTTCGCCCAACAAAACATCAATCACAGGATCATTAACTGCTCAAGGCAATGTTTTGAGTAACACGTAAAACGTGTTGGGGAGGAAATTCAGCATCATTATCCTAATTAAGGCGACATACAAAATTCATCTATCACAATCGGGTCAAGTCGCCTTCGCCTATCAATAAATGAGATACAGCCAATATAAAATGTGTAGGTACTTTTGAAATGTAAATAAAACTTTTCTGAGTCATGACCTCTGAAACGTAACATCCTCCAGATCAAAATAAGACATTCATCTCCGAAACGGACGAAATGATTAACGGTCTCACAATGTATAAACATAGGCAACCTCATTTCAACTTACTTGAGGATGATACCCATGGCAGTAGAGCTGATCTGGGGCGGCATTTTCAAAATCTTCGGCCCGGACGTCTTTCCCTTGAGAAGATTGGTGAAAAACGGCGTGCAGGCGTGCAGAATTAGACTGTGTGCCTGCCAACAGCGAGAGACAAAGTGATGAGGGGACTGTTCAGTGCTCGGTCTGGTCTGGGTCGGTCTAACGCTATTTGTCTGTGCGAAATGGCCTACAATGGTCTGACCAGTGACCAGGCTCTAAGTCTGAAAACACACAGTCTGAGATCGCCGTAGGTTATTTCTAAAAACAATACTCAGGTCATCCCAATATCACCAATATTTTGGAAGTTGAACCTGTTCCAGGAAATGCATTTATCATCAGACGAGCATTGAACGAAGGCGTTAATTTCATCAATACATTACTACAAACAATGTCTTTTTTTTTTTTTAACCACAATACACAACGGACACATGTCATATCAAAATTGCATTCACCCACGGCGTCCTGGTCAGCCCTACCTTGAGGTCGGCGTGAGGAAAGCGCAGTGTCAGGTCACAGTGCTCCTGTTTGTCGTAGAGCGCCTCGATACGCTGCGCCAGGAAGTTGCCCCAGTTGTCCACGCGGATTGGCTTGTCGGCCATATCCGAGACGATACGGATGGACGTCGAGCCCTGCCTGCCTCTTGAGCACGCCATGGCAGCGGCGCGGTCCGACGGCAGCGGTCACCAGCGCTCTCCGATCACTGGAGGAGGCGAGCCGCGGCCTGAAACACTGAACACACGCACCAAACTGTCATAGTATGTCATCACACGCCTATGCTGACTGGGTGTTCAAGGCCACAAGAACTGGAGACCTCGATCTGTTAAAACTCCTTGCGGCCTGGAGTTGTACTCAACTCGGTGTCCGGAATAAAGAAGGAGCTCGGTGCGGTGTTCATAAAGACACAACTTTTTTTGTACATACTTTTTGTACAGAATTCAACACTTCGGTGGGGAGACTGTTCCAGTCATTTATTGTTTTGACTGCGAAGGCGTACCCCGCCGGATTCTAGATTTTGTTTTTGATTTTGCCAGTTTCAACAGGTGACTCGGCAAAAAAGACGGCGTTAAAAGTCGAACAGATCAATCTATCCCCCAGCTCATCTCCTGTCAACATCCTGCAGCCCTGCAGTGATATCAACGCTCATTTGGCCGAAAGGGCCTAGCCCAGTGGACAACAATGCTTTTTGGATATCAACTGAGTGAAACCTGCCGGTACCCAGCAGATGGTTGGGGGGAAGGGGAGGATAAACCATATCATTTACAGTTACATATTGTCATACAAATTGTCATAGCTATGGGTACCTAGGTATGCAGCAGTCACGTCCACATGCCAGCTTAGGGAAATATTAACTTGTTAAGTTCGTATTGTAGCTCAGTTAGTACGTAGAGCATGGAACGTTGAAGCAAACTCTGGACTATACCTGCTTGTCACTGGGTAAGAGAAGATAACGTACCACGCTATCAGTATCGACTGAGACTATAGACTCAGACCGACTCAGGCAGACTCAAACTGACTCGACCGACTCAAATCGATTCTGATCAACTCAGACAAACTCCGAATGTTTCAGACAGACTCAGGCGGACTCAAACTGACTCAGGCAGACTCGGACCAATTTAGATCGACTCAGACCGACTCAGATAGACTCAGAACGGCTCAAACTGACTCAGACTGACTCAACCGACTCAAATCGATTCCGATCGACTCAAACAGACTCAACACGACTCAAACCGACTCAGGCAGACTCAAATCAAACTCTGATCAACTCAGACAAACTCAGAATGTTTCAGACAGACTCAGGCGAACTCAAACCGACTCAGGCAGACTCAGACCGATTTAGATCGACTCAGACCGACTCAGATAGACTCAGAACGACTTAAACTGACTCAGACCGACTCAACCGACTCAAATCGATTCCGATCGACTCAAACAGACTCAGCACGACTCAAACCGACTCAGGCAGACTCAAACCGACTCAGGCAGACTCAGACCGATTTAGATCGACTCAGACCGACTCAGATAGACTCAGAACGACTCAAACTGACTCAGACCGACTCAACCGACTCAAATTGATTCTGATCGACTCAAACAGACTCAGGCAGACTCTAACTGACTCGACCGACTCAAACCGATACCGATCGACTCAGAACGACTCAGACATACTCAGGCAGACTCAAACTGACTCAATCGACTAAGCCGATTTAGACCGACTCAGACAGACCCATCGGTTTGACCTGAATCATCAGACCTGAATCCGTCTGAGTCGGTTTGAGTCTGTCGGAGTCTGTCTGAGTCATTCTGAGTCTGTCTGAGTTGATCGAAATCGATTTGAGCCAGTGAGTCGGTCTGAATCAGTTTGAGTCGTGCTGAGTCTATCTGAGTCAGTCTGAGTCAATCTGAATCGGTCTGAGTCTGCCTGAGTCAGTTTGAGTCTGCCTGAGTTGGTTAGTCTGCCTGAGTCTGTCCGAGTCATTCTGTGTCGGTCTGAGTCGATCAGAATTGATTTGAGTCAGTTGTAAATTCGGTCTGCTGAGTCAATTTGAGTCATTCTGAGTCTATCTGAGTCGGTCTGAGTTGATCTAAATCCGTTTGAATCTGCCTGAGTCTGTCTGAGTCATTCTGGGTCAGTCTGAGTCGATCTGAATCGATTTGAGTGGATCAGAATCGATTTGAGTCGGTTGAGTCAGTCTGAGTCAGTTTGAGTCGGTCTGAGTTGATCTGAATCGATTTGAGTCGGTCGAGTCAGTTTGAGTCTGCCGGAGTCTATAGTCTCAGTCGATACTGATAGCGTGGTACGCTATCTTCTCTTACCCAGTGAAGTCACAGCATGCTTCGGCTTGGCACGGCGTCCTAATACAGGAAACCTTAACCTTGAGCGAAAACACTACCGGTGATGCCAGGGTTACCGATACCCAAACCTGAAACCTACAACCTACAAACCTACAACCTACCCTACAAACCTACAAATCTACCATACAAACCTACAAACCTACACCTACAACGGTATCTGGCATCTTCCTGGGACACCAGGCTTACTTATACCGAACTTCTTAGTCTAACATTTTTTGCTCATAGCCTCCCCCACCCCAAACCCAGCCTAACCATTGCAATTAGACAGCGCAGTAAAGGTTGACCAGCTCATATATAGAAATTGTAGCATAGGTACCTTAGTAAATTTTCAAATTGACCACCAAAGCATTACAACTTAAATCCAACACAAAAACAAAACAACTAAGAAAATAACTAACAAAAAAACAAGCTTCCGCAGAACAGTGGGGGGCGCCATCACGCCGCAGCGATGGAATAAAAACACTGCAAGATTCTGCAAACTAAAACGCAGCATAACTTAGACTTAGCCACAGAGGAAATTAGAACAATACACAATTCTGATATTATGCAAGGTCATCGCTTTATATTGATGCGATGTTTGGGCTGAATGAATTACACACCGCTGAAAATAAACCGCAAATAGGTATTTTGCAAGGCCATATGGGCCATATAAGTTATTTTGTACGTATTTTGGGAACTGTCCCAACTTGGTGCAGGGAAAGGTAGCAAAGTTAATATTTGTACTTAAATTTCGCTTATTTTGCAAATTTGACTAGAAATTGAAAAAAATAATTATCTTTAAAGAAAAACCTATTTATAGGCAAAGCAAACAGAAGCAGGAACAAAAAAGAACTTGATTGAAGCCCTGATTGAAATTACTGTTTTGCGCTTGGTTTGCGCAGCAGCTGCGTGCGCATTGCCAAATGCAAGGCATCATAACGGGTGAGACTAAATGCTTACTTCGAAATCTAAGCTGCGTTGCGGCATTGGCGGTTATGTGCGGCGTGTATGCCGCATGCTTAGCAAGCGGCGACCACTAAATTAAAAACTCAATAGCTTTGACCTGTTTTCAATGGATAACACTGCATACCAAAAATGTCCATCGCTCTCGTCATAGGATATTTAGATTTAAATAACTAACTTATCTACATCACCGTTTTGAACCAAATTAATACTTTCAACTTGACCCTCGCCCGTATTGGTGCTTTTCCAGCCGCGAACGTATAAGGTATAACCCCTTGCCGTTTCGCTCCTGATCAAGCTAGAGCTTCGCGGAAAAAACGAGCGTGTTGCCCGTGACGAGAGGAAGCCGGTGATACCCAATTTTAAGGTCCTAGGTCATCGGTTGACCTTCCAGGTCAGGTCAATGACCCAAAAAACGGGAAAATCAGGACCTGTTAGAACGTCGTAGTGTGGCTGCCATGGGGTTTTTCGGGGTGCTGATCACAAATATCATGCTAGTTTTGATCACAGATGATGTCTTCATTCATTTAGGCCAGGTCGGGTCAGGTCAGGTCAGGTCAACCAGTAGAGGTCCTGCCGGGTATTTGTAGTGGGTGTCAACCGCCTCTGACAGCCTCGTAACATGTTACGAAGGCACCAAAACTACTTTGTAAACGTTCATGTGGTTGCCAAATTCGAATTCAGGTCGAAAAACTGGCCTAGAAACATGTCAAACTCGAAAAAGTGAACCGAGGTCACCAAAGGTCAATGACCTGACCTGACCTTCAGGTGACCTTGACACCCACCCTGATGCATGGGGGCAAGATCATATCACATGTTTGAACGCTTGAAACCACGAAAAGACTGCAAACGCGCTGCTAATGCGAGCCGACATACGCTGAATCGCGGTTCCGGCCAAACATGGTCTCGAAAAGTAGGTCACAGGTCAAAGGTTATTTGCGTCAGGGTCATGAAATTTTCAGGGTAGGTGTAAAATTGATCAACGCGAGGGTACTAAAAGTTACGTCGTGATCGGCCGCTTTTTACGCGAGTTATTCGCGAAAAACCGAGGGGAGTCCGTTCGACCCCCCCCCCCCTAAAGGGCGAGGGTTAACTCACAGTCCGAACTCCGAACAAGTTCGGTCTTGTTTGTGAATTTGTCGGAGCATCACCTAAATCTAGTAGAGATGATGGAGGGAAACTAGGCTTTTAAGGAGGGAAGGGAGTCGGTGACGGTCAGGGGCACTACAAGCAGAGCAGTCATAAGCTGGTGACAGGGCTGACACCATGTTTTGATAGCATGACTGAAACAGACTTTTTGGGTAGCCAGGAAATCGCATGCGAGAGCCTATTGAAATTCTTACATCGGCCTTTATATGCACCAGTCGTATACAGGTGCGGGATTTGGCATACGATTTCCAGACAATCGAAAGACTGTTTGGAGCCAACGAAGGAAGGAATGAGTGAGTACTAAGTTGAAAGCAATAATTTGGTTCAAAATGATGATGCAGATAACTTAGTTATTTAAATCTAAATATCTTATGACGAGAGCGATTGGCATTTTTGGTATGCAGTGTTATTCATTGAAAACAGGTTGGAGCGTTTAAGTCTTTAATTTAGTGGTCGCCGCTTACTAATCATGCGGCATACACGCCGCACATAACCGCCAATGCCGCAACACAGCTTAGATTTCGAAGTAAGCATTTAGTCTCACCCATCATAACAGAGTGGATTTGCTTGGTACTTGTATATTGCTGGCGAATGGGAGGGATTATATGCCGTGGGAGCTGTGCATTATCAAATTTATTTTACACTTTTAGCATCCTGGATACTAAAGGAATATGAAGAGACGAAATGCTGATATTGCTAAATTGAGAAGACCCTTGAAGAAGACAAAAATTGGGGACGGAATGTACGGAAGGTGAGCCCGTCGTCACTATTGTCTATGAGAGCATTTTTCCATAAAATTGTCACACAAACTAGCATGTAATGCAACAGCTAGCTCTTATGATGCCCTTCTTACATGGCATTTCATTTCATCAGGTAACCCTAACAATCACTTGAGGAGGTTCACTTTCCATTGTATGTGGAAATATTGATTTTGTACTTCAATGCGTTGCACACCTCATGCCTTTAACTGTTTGCCTGTCCGCTTGTAGTGCCAGCTTTACCGATCGCTATTGTAATTGGTCTTTTTAGCTGCTGTGGACATTTGTGCATCTTCTATTGAAGCTTTCTTTTGTAGGATACCTATAGATCAGTCGGGGAAACTATGGTAAAATCTGCTATTTTTAGCAGTCTGCTATTTTTAGCAGAAATCTGCTAAAAATGGGTACGCATGTGACGTCATCGTACCCAAATATAGCAGATTTGGGTACGGCCCCATACAAAAGCAGATCTGCACCCTAATTGAAGCAAATGCGCATCAAACGCCTGGCAGATTCATGATGAGAATAGTGCTGAGAGTGTTCTCTGCTATTTTTGTTCAGATCCGACTATTTTGAAATTCATTATTTAAAAATAGTCGGATCTGAACAAAAATATCAGAGGACATTCTCAGCACTATTCTAATCATGAATCTGCCAGGCATTTGATGCGCATTTGCTTCAATTAGGGTGCAGATCTGCTTTTGTCGGGGGCCGTACCCAAATCTGCTATATTTGGGTACGATGACGTCACATGCGTACCCATTTTTAGCAGATTTCTGCTAAAAATAGCAGATTGCTAAAAATAGCAGATTTTACTATAGTTTCCCCAACTGAGATGGTAGATACTTTTGTAGAATCTCTCGTTGTGTTTGTGAAACCAAGGCCAGACTATTTGTTATGTCGAATATATCCAGTGTAGTGGCTGGATTGTGCAGGAAATTTCAGTGCACGTTCGATGTAACTTTGCATGCGCCAAATTCAGAGCATGGTGGCGCCCAATTTTTTTGCCGCAGGGTGGCTGCTCAATTTTTTGCCCAAATATGGTCACCGAATTTTGTCGGCACGCTGGTTAATCAAGCAGCAGATTAACCCTATGGGCGGCTCTAGAGAGGTTTTGGAATGAGACGGCCCGGCCCCAGTCATCACATGCTCGAACTGGCGAGCAGCCTTGAGTCTACTCAGCGGAGGAGTGGCCACCCAGATGAGGCCTGAACCTCCAGCGTGGAGATAGGCATGGAAGACCTTGTTGAATATCGCTGAGTATCGTTAAGTAATAGGTACTGCAGTGGTTTCCTGCCCGCTGCAGTATCGAGGGGAACGGGAGCGCGGACGACCTGGCAAAACAAGCGGCCGGCCTGCCCTCAAACGCCCGCTCGCTGCCTAGGGCGGCTCATTGTGCTGCCTCACATCAATGGTGCAACAACTGGTCAGAGAGTATTCTATGACCGTGGGTCAGAGTAACTATTCACTCCTCGGGAGCATGCCGCCGCTCCCTATCCCCGGAGATGACGCCGTTTTGGTGCACCACATGAGGGCGGGCCACTGGGGCCGCTCGCTCCAGTACGGCACCGAATCGGCCGTCTCCACTCCGCGGCGTGCCAGCAGTGCCCAGACAAGCGGTGCCCCACGTCGCTCTGCGCCATGTGCCGAGAAGAGGCTGATGTGCCGGAGCACGTGTTGCTCCGCTGCCCGGCCCTCGCTGGCTCCCGCCAGCCTAGAACACACTGCTCCGCCGTTTTTTTGTGGCCCGGGAACTTCTGGCTCCGGCCTTGTTTCACGGCACGACGCTACAGTGCGCTAAGTTCTTGAGATGTTTCCGTGGAAAAAATATTTGGACGCTCAAACAGTGGAGTGCGTCCAAGGCCCCGGAACGCTCTGTCTGGTTGATATAGCCTCGATCGTTTGTTTGTTTATTGGGGCTTAAGGGCGCGCCGACTATGTGCTTTATATAAAAGTGGCTTAATTTTGACACAAAAAGGCACCCAATTTTCAGCGCAAATCATACAGAAATTTTAGCGCAAAATCGCTTGCGCTCAATTTCGGCGCAAGCGTCACGGGCGGCCGACGTAGTGTATGGATGTTTTCCAGTCTGGCACCTAGGTACTTACCAGGTACTTACATACTAATTGAGGACGATCAGAATAACTGTTATGTTTGGCACCTATCTACTAAAGTATGCTGGTGTGAGAGAAATTAATTACCTGTTGACCTGAAATACATGTTAATTTTTCTCTTTTTTCAGCATTCTCCATAGGTAGGTACAAAAAATCTGGCAATCCTAAAGCAGCAGAATGTCTCTCTTGGTGGGACAGACATTGTGACTGTTTCAACCCAGGTTTAGTGACTAGGCCAGGCCGCACACGACATGAACATGAGCTGGCATATGCCAATTTTCATGTAGCTTCTCACCATTTCATGCAGTCGTGCAAATGCAACTGCCATGTTTTAACCGTCGCCCCTATTGGCGTTTTCACTGCCGCAGACGTAGGAGGAAGTCGATTGGACCCCTCCCCCTCCACCAGCCTCTCGGCCTCTTAGATAGGCTAAGGTTAGACCTAGAGCTTTGCAGAAAAAGCGAGTGTGTTGCCCATGACG